GTGAAGGGGATAATGATCAATGGTTTGTGGGGGAAGGGGGAAAATAGGCAGTCGGTCATGGTTTGTGGACTAGTATCGTTGGCGTTTGTGAGCCCATAATGATCAATGTGTGAGGGAAAGATTTATTAGGTTTAGTCCCACATCAGTTGTGGGAGGACGCAGTGCACGACTTACAAGGGTGAAGGCGTCCCCTCCTCTCAGGCTAGTGTCTCGCATCAGTTGTGGGAGGAGACAGAGCATGACATATTGGCAGACCCGAGATTGTATAATTTCCGGCTGCCCACATTTCACTCCACTCTCATTGTGAGTGAAAGACTGCAGTCTCACCAGGGCAAAAAACCTAGCCCCCGCGTCGCTCTGACCAGGGCGACTCGGGCGGCGACCGAAAACCTAGCCGTCGCCACCCCGTCTCCCACCTCTCTCCCCCTCGCCGCCGCCGAAGGGCGCCGCCGGGAGAATCCCACGCGGCCGACGGCGGCGGCGGGGCACTGCTCTCTGCGATGGGCGGTAGGTGGGCGGGCGGCCTGGCCCCCGGCTGGGTTTCGGCCTCCTGGCCATCCGTTTTCGGCCGGCCGGCGAATCCGGCTCTTCCTCGGCTTTCCCTCGTCTCGCAGCACTCATAGCTCCCCTCGCCACCCCCATCCTCTCCGGCGGTCGATGCACCCCGCTCCACCTCGCCTCGCTCCCCACGGATCCTCCTCGACCCCGTCCTCCTGCGCGACCGGAGCCGGGCGGCCACAGATCCGGCGCTGGCGTCCCCTCCCCTCCATATCGACGACCCGTCCTGCGCCTCCACCCCGCTCGCCCTCCCCGCCCCCGCCTCCCTGCGCGCCCGTCACGAACGGGTTGCGGCTGGTCCGGTGGATCCTGCGACGGACCCCTCCTCGCCTCCGCCACCGCAGGTCCCTGCCGGGAAGACCCTCCACTCGGGTGCCCTCACCCTCTGTCCACCTCCGACGCCGTCGGTTCCTACCGGGAAGGAACTCCATTCGGCAGTGCCCCCACCCCCCTGTCGTGGTACAGCGGCCCCCGCTACTCACTACCCCACCTCGTCTCCACCCTCCTCACCGGCGGCCTGCTCCACTCGTCCTTCCTCGGTTCACCATCCACCTCACATGTCTGTCTCGGTCCTGTCCTCTGTCGCCCCTCGACTCCACTTGGATGGCGGCCCACCATTGACGGATGTGCTACGGGAGAAATCCCCGCTGACCTTGTCAGCTGACCACGGCAGCGCTACTCCAGCATCGCTTACCCTCTTGGGGGCGTGGCTCATGTGCCACTCCTGTCTCTCGGTCCGGATTCTCAACTCTCGGCTCTGCCCTCTGGGAATTTAACCGGTTATGCTCCAGGCGAAAGCTCTGTGACGACGTCATCCTCGGATGTCGTCCACCTTCTTGAAGGCGTCACTAGGGAGCTCCTTGCCGCCATTCATCCTCCGTTGCCCTTGGTTGGTCATCCTCTGCTCTGCTAGCTCAAGAACCTCTCATGTTTGTCGTCTGTTTTGGTGAGCTTCGTGCTCTTCGTGCTATCTTGGTTCATCTTTGCTCAACAACGACGCAACGATGCCTCCCCACCTTGCTAATCGTGTCGGCTTGCTGTGGCGGAGCTTCCAGTTAAGGTTCGTGATGGGTCACTCGTTGATTGGTGTTGCTCCTCTGTTGTGCCAAGGGGTTGGTACGCACGCCGGTGTGGTGCGTTAGGATAGTTGTTTAGTGTTGGTATTGTGATTCCTCGACGACACACCACTTCCACTTGACTTTTATAGTGGTGGTCTCTTGGCTTGCTGGCTAGGTAGTGCTTTCTTCGGGGCGTCTCCATATGTTCTCATCCTATGTAATCCTTCCCTCCTGTGCGGTTTTTTGGCCCGGTTTCCCTTATAAACGGGGTCAACCTGTTAAGGTTTTTGATCCGGTTTTCCTCATAAACTGGATCAAACACTTGGCATTTTGGCCACTTCGAGCAATATATTCAGGTGGGGACTCCCCCCCCCCCTTGACCGTTCAAAAAAAAAGACTGCCAGTCAAAGTTAGTAGTAATCTTTATCCATCAAAGCTAATATACAGAGTAAATAAAAAATAAAGATAGTACTAATCTAGTGGAGAAGCACGTCCTGAACCCGGGTACATATGAACCCCTTTTCTAAAAATGCACTTTAAACTTATTTTTAAAATGTCCAAAAATTCAAAAAAAATCACATGTACATGTTTGCAAAATATGTGCGCGGCACAAAGTTTTGCGTACAAATGTCTTTTTATTTTGCCTTCTAAAAAAGACAAAATTCTGTTCTTCTAAATAGCACGACACTTTATTTTTGTCTTTTCTTGCACATGCCAAAAATAAGTTGTTTTTACACGAAACTTTCTGCGCACACATAACACATGGAGATGTACCGGCACAATTATTTTTCAAATTCTTTTAGCATTTAGAAATGTGTTTTCATATGTACCATGGCCTTTTTTTTAAAGTTGTACCATGGCCTTTTTTTGAGGGAAAGCCATCATGGCACGTTTTATTACTTCAAAAAATGTTTACATCGTTTAACAAGAACTGCAGAATAAAGCTAGGGGCCTCATCGTACCAAATACAATCAACTTTCTGTGAAAAACAAAACCTAGCTAGTTCATGCGCCACTACATTAGCTTCCCTATGACAATGCATAAAATTAACCAAACCAATATCTCGAGCAATTTTCGTGCACGATGCATAAATCAGAGCTGCTTGGTCATACCACTGACTTGTTCCAGATAATGCATCTATAACACCCATGCAATCAGACTCTGCTTGAAGACGATTACAGCCAACCTCATTTGCTAGCAGTAAACCATTTTGAAGGGCCATCGCCTCCATAGTTCGGGCAGAAGCAGCATAGAGAATGAACCGAGAACGTCCAACCAGGAAGGTACCTGAGGAGTCTCGGAGAACAGCACCTGTCGCCCCAGTTCCTTCCTCTGCGTGATAAGAGGCATCAACATTTAATTTCAAACATCCCCCAGCTGGTTTTACCCATTTCTCCTTTACAACACTGGTCACCTTCGCAGAAACTTTAGCGGAGACCCGGAGAGTCAACCTTCCGCCCCAGATTCATCTGTCCCTGCTCTACCCATCAAAGGAAAAAAAAAATCTATCCCTGTTCTGTTCTGTATTGCACGGGCGTATCGTATCCCCAGCATCTTCGATTCGATTCAGGCTCTGCCCACGCCCAGCGCTGCAGATTCAGGTTAGGAACCAATCCCTCGACCTCACTGGGCATAACCCGTAGCAGTAGGGATTGATTTCATCGAAACGACCGAATACCGATTTCCTTCCCTCGGCTTCACTGAAGATCCCCGCCCGCCTCGCTCTTCCCCTTGTCGTGTTGCAGGCAGGGAGCCATGGATTTGTGCCGTGCAGTTCAATATATTACTGTACATGCAGATTTGATGAAATTTAACAAGTTCAGTATTTCCTGCACTAGTACATGGGAAAGACCTGTAATTTAATCATATTATTAGCTGTCATCCTATTTAACTTGGCTCTCAATTTTTATCCTGGAAGCTTGACACATCCACTTTGATCCTGCTGAACAGATGCTCCCAATTTTTATCCCAACTTTGGAGCAGAGAGGGCCATCATCCCAGCTGTTTGCAAGACTGGCTCGCATAAGAGGGGGGGTGATAAGGTAAACGGACCGCCGCCCATATCCGAGTGATATCTTTATAGGAGTAAGAAAAATGGGCATCGAAACCAGTAAGCATGCCAATGCTTTCCTGCCAAACACTATGGATTTCGGTGAACTAGAGAACATGCTACAAGAGCCAAGTGCCACACCAGTTTGCCTGCCGGTAGAGTTTCTGAAAGGCATCACACGCGATTTTTCCGTGGAGCAGGAACTGGGAAGAGGTGGGTTTGGTGTGGTTTACAAGGTATGGTTCTGATCCTTCTTCTCTTTACCATTCACTTTGTGAGTGTTAGCATGAATAATTTCATCAAAGGAAAATGCCTATACTGAGAAACGCAAGGTTGGACAGGGGATACTTCAAAACGGGAAAATGATTGCCGTGAAGAAGCTTTTCGACATACAAGTAGAGGATGATCAATTCCAGAACGAGGTCACCTACCTTATTGGGGTTAAGCACCAAAACGTAGTACAGCTTGTAGGCTACTGCGCCGAATCACGGTGGGAAGCGGCACAAGTAGGCGGGAGATATGTCATGGCTGAGATACGGAGCAGATTGCTCTGCTTCGAGTATCTAAACAACAACAGCCTTGCTAAGCATATTTCTGGTAGGTTGCTGTAGCCAGACCTTGTTTTTCCATTGGACTTCATTATTTTAGCATAAATTAAGTTGGATGATCCGATATTACATTTTTGTTTTGTCTACTTCTGCAGCTGAATCTTGTGGACTTGAGTGGCACATAAGATGTAACATAATTAAGGGGGTTTGCAGCGGCTTGCATTGCCTTCACGCGGAGTGCCGCATTGTTCATTTGGATCTTAAGCCCCAAAATATATTGCTGGATGATAATATGGTCCCCAAGCTTGCAGATTTTGGCATGTCTAGGCTCTTTGGCCAACAAGAGTCTCGAGTTATCACCGAAAGCCGTGGGGGTACACTGTAAGCTATTCCTCAGAACTTCATTGCTTCTCGATCTAGTATATAAAAACGTATCCTTGTTTTCATGCAGTGGATACATGGCACCAGAGTACATAACAAATGGAGTAATCTCAACCAAGTCAGATATATTCAGTTTGGGCATTATAATCATTGAGCTAATGACGGGAAGCAGAGAATATCCCCATAGTAGTGAAGCACCGTCTGAGCACTTCATTGAGAATGTAAAATGAACAAATTCACCATTTGCATTTTCATTATTTACTAACTTGCTGTGGCAAATTTGTAGGTGGTTGGAAATTGGAGGCACATATTGGAAAAAACAATGGGGCATAAAACGCAGGAAATATGTTCCCAACAAGTAAACAGATGCATTGCATTAGGACTTAAGTGTCTTAATCCAGATCCCGATGAAAGGCCCTCTGCATGGGATATGTTGCAAACTCTGAATGAATTGGAAAGCACAAATGGTTGTTTTGACAAGAATGATGGACCAGCAGTAGTAACTTACGTAAGTCAATATTGCAAAATAACTATTTTACTGTCTCAACAGAAGTTGATATATCGTCCTTGCTCATGTTAGCTTTTTTACAAAACTTCTTCATTGTACCCCTGGCCTCTGCATCGAGTGATGCACAGAGCCATTGAAAATCTAGCTAGTTTGTGGATGTAGCTTCTCTTTTTAAAGAAGCTTGTACGTTGTACTACAAGAAAAGGAAATCAAGACTCTTAAGATTTTGCCAAGTGGATTATCTGGCAGTACATGCAAAACTAACTCTGAAGCCCATTAAACATTTGAAAGAATTTGTTTGTGATAGGACTATAGGAGAGGTTGTGTCTGAAGAAAACACTCGATGGATTGCTGGAACTGCAAGGAATAACTAATACAAGTCGTTCAAGGAAAAATGATGGCATGACAAATAAGTGAAGTTTTGGACATGCTTTCAGTAAAACTTTTTTTTTACTAGAAATGTGATTTTAATTATTCAGAATGAAAATTTGTAAATCATATGTATAGATTTGTCTTGGAAAGTATTTCTAGAATATTATTTATTTATTTATATATTCAATAGAAATTAGTGGTCAAAGTCACATCTTGAAGACCATGTCAATTGTCCAAAACGTCACTTATTTTGTGCTGTGGAGGGAGCACCATTCCTCTTACTCTTAAGGAGGTAAAACTGGTGCATCTTAAAAGAGCTGCTCTTTCAAAACATTTTCCCTCAAAAGAATTTGCAGTAGCACTGCCTCATGTATTTGTCAAGAAGAAAATAATTATAGATTACAGAGGTGCAAAGCACGGAAACCAGAAGCACCCACACGATGTCTTAATTCACTAATCGAGTATTACATCTTAATTTCTAGCCTCAAACAGAAGTGTTTGAAAGTACATTGCCTCCTCTAATCTTACAGGAATCAGAAAAAGACACAATTTTAGGGCGGGGCGATGTAAATTCCAGCAATTTAGCCGCAAAATTCGACAGGATATTGAGTAGAGCATTCGCCCCAGGTTCTGCAAATATGAGCGCCGTTTTCCGCTCTGCTCCCAAAGGAAGAAGGATATTGATCCAAGCTTTTGAGGTTGCCAACACAATTGTCATGGCCTCTAATCTGATAAAATCCCTCTCTAAGCAAAGAATAAGGCACCTGAAAGAGGGCGTGCTTAGGTCGGAAGGTGTTCGCTGTCTTATTTCGGAAGATTACAGTCAGCTGTCCCTTATCATTGAAGACGACATACGGTAACAGGATTTGCTGGGCCTGTCTGTTTAGCAGTTTATTTAAGAAAAGTATTACATGCATTTTATTGGAATTATGCAGAGAAGAGTTGAGACGATTTTGTATAGAGGTTGCCCGGTTTGGAGATCTGTGTGAAGATCCTCAATGGCACAATCTCGATAGGTATTTCTGTAGGTAAAACTTATCGCCGTTACCACTTAATTCACTTCGGAGTCCATGTATTCACCATAGCTCATCTTTTTTGTGTTCTGTGTACATAACATACATCGTTCACAGATGCGGTTCTGCACTGACAGTGACATCTAAGAACAACTCCAGTGAAGAAGCACCTCCCAGTTTGCAGTATCTGATAAAATTGGCACAAAATACATGGGTCAGTATTTCTTCTTGATAGAGAATTTTCTAAACCATGGTCGCACAGCTGTTTTCACCTGACAATCCAACTATATCTCTTCTTTGCACGTTCACATCCTTGTAGAGATGTTTTCAGCAGACAAAACACTGAAATTCCGTTTTCGCTTTTTGATGTGTTCAGGTTCTGCGCCAAGAAATGCTAGCACTGGACAGACTTGAGCACGCTCATTGTACGACAAACCATTTTGTCACTCGCATTCGATGAGTCTCCTCTCCTTTCTAATTACACAGTAACCATATGCAGATTTAGCAGCTGTTCCTGTTAAGAAACAAATTGATGCTATCAAGAGCCAAAGGGGTGCGGTGAAGGTCTTAAAAAGGAAATCGCTATGGTCGAAGATTATGGAAGATGTAATAACCCGTGACGGCGATTATTTATGATTAGCATTTCTTCAATCTAAGTCATGAAATTACCAATGATCCATGTTGTCTTGTTCCAGATTGTAGAGAAACTTGTAGGGATCGTGGACTTCATCCATCTTGAGATCAACAGAGCTTTCTTGGAGAACCATGCCGAGCAATCATCTGGAGAACTTCGTGTGGCTAAAAACCTCGCCAGAACGTTAGGGCCTGCTGGACTCGCGTTGCATTACGCCAATGTCATTTTGCAGCTAAAAACTTTGGTATGTCTCCCTTTTCCCAGAGTTGGCATAAAGTTATATAGTAGTAATTGTGACACCCGCTTGACAACCAAAATTAAGGATCCTTACAGCAGAAAATTCAGACAAGAGTAAAGCAGAGGCCAAAACACACATTGACCAACATTACACCAACGAAGCAAAACAACCGCATTAGAAATTTCGGTGACTCTTGTTATGCTTTAATGACATACATACATATCCCATTGCCAGGCATTGACATCACCAGCGGTTCCTCAGAATGCTCGGGAGGCATTGTACCAAGCACTGCCTCCTCGGATCAAACCAGTCTTGCATACCCAACTGCGGCGGCGTTTTCCCCTCGGAGAAAAGCAGGTAGGTAGCCAACTCTTTCAGCAAACATTACATATAAAATAAATAGGGAATCCATCCCTTGTCATCTCGGCTGCATCTGCATCTTGTAGACCATGACGGTAGCAGAGGTGAGAGCTGAAATGGACAGGGTATTGCGATGGCTTGTGCCAGCTGCGGAATCCACGAGGTAATTCGTGCAAGTTTTCAAGTTAACAGAACAGCACTACTTGAAGTACATTACTTTTAATCTTACCGCACAGATAGCTATAGATGTTCTACAGAAAAAAATTCTTAGTGATATATGTTCATGGCTCACCTGGCTTCCTTCTTGATGAGTATCAGGCTTTACCTCGGAGAATGGGCGAGGAGAGGGTACGTACCCTGTAAATCTGTAATCGTCCGACCGCTCGTCTCGTTTCTGTGTTTGCTCATGCAACAGACGTATAAACTGCAATTCTCTGGGAGGCTGTCCCATTTCTCATGAATCAATCTCTTTTACAGGACGGAGTGTGTTGATGTCGACGAAGCGAACTGGTTCGAACGAGACAGTCGTATCAGTGTCGGTTCCATGCTCGCGCATGCAGACGCCAAAGTGACCAAGGTCGAGACGCTGTACTACGCCGACAAGGAGACGACCGAAGGTTACATAGCTGTGTTAGGTTGATCTCTCCCGTATGGGCCCAACGGCCCAACGGACCCCTGATCCGCGCCCTGATCGGGGGCGCCCAACCACAATATGGTTGACGGGCCCCTGTCACGCAGCGCTACATAAAGAGGTGGGGGCCGGCGGCACGCAGTACGAGGTTCACCGCGTTGCCAGGCTCCCCACCGAAAACCCCGACCCGATCTAGGTCTAGCGCTGACAGTGACAGGAAGCTCCGCCGCCGCCACTGCCCACACACCGCCACCATCCACTCCCTGCCATCACCGGCCACCGTCACCATGGCCGGCACCGGGAGTTCCTCATCTGCACCTGGACAAGGTAGGTTCACCGGATCTCCTAGCCCACTCCGATCTAAGGTTCTATCAATGGTATCAGGTAGCCAGATCGGGCTAGAAGATTTTCGGTAAAAAGAAAACAAAGAAAGGAAAAGGATCCCCAAACCCCAAAGAACCCTAGCAGGGCACAGAGAAAAAAAAAGGATCCCCAAAAGTTCACCGGACTAGGGCCTCGGGCCTCGCCGGCAAAGAGCGCCGCCGAAAGGCCGCGCCTGTTCCTCTCGATCCGGTCGCGCATCGGCAAGCCGAGGCGACAGGGAAGAAGAACACAGCCTCCCAAGGGGGCAAAAGGGCACCACCACCGCACCGCTTGACGGCGGTGCGCTCTCCCTCGGGAGCTCGCGCACACCGGCAAGGGGGATGGGGGGGGGGGGCGCCGCCGCACCTCGATCTGCCACTGTTTTTGGTGGATGGGGGGCTTGTAAGATGGAAACGAATGGGAACAGGAAAGGTGGCTCGCGCGGCGCGGCTCGACGCTGTCGCCGACGGCCGGCGTGGCCCTAACCCACCGCGTCGGGAAGGCCCGATGCGCCTCTCTGCTCTCTGTTGCTGGAGAAGAGAAAGAAGAAAACAGAAAAGGGAAAGGGGAAGGGAGAGGACGCGCGCACGGCGCGGTGGCTTTCGCTACCGCCGGCGGCGGCCGGACCGGGCGGCCGGGGCGCAGCCCCGTGCTTCCGCCGACGAGAGAGGCGAGAGAGGGGGCGCATGGGCGGAATGGGCTAGGTTTCGGTCGGGGACCGATCGATCGAGGCGTTTTGTTCTAGCGAGAGGCGCGGTCGTCCGTCGGATCGCGATGGACGGCGCAGATCAAAACCCTAGCTCCGCCCTGGGCCACTGGGCCTAAAGCGAAGGAGGCCAGCAGCCGGCCGCTGGGCCGGGGCTAGCCGCCAGCGGGCGCTATCGCGCGAGCGGGGCTGAGGCCACAGCCGCGGGCGGCCCAGGCCGAGTCGGGCCGGTTGCTGCTGCAGTTTTCTTTTCTGTTTTAATAGTTTTGTCCGGGTTTTCCTTTTGGGCAGATTTCATAAATAGTTTTTCTATCCAAATTATTTTTCCTACGAAAATCTTTTGTTTAGAAAATAGAAAAGTAAACAAAAAAGTTCTGAAAATGAAAATAGAAAATTTTCAGAAAAAAAATGTTCATGAATTTTACAGAGAAAATAGTAAAGTTCATGAATCTTTTATTTAATCAAAGAAAAGTTTCTGTAAAAAAAAGTAAAAAGTTCGTGAATTTTTTATTCACGTTTTTCCGCTGTGTAAATAATTATTAGTGCTCTTTTAAAAGGGAATAAAAGTTTAGATAGAATTATGTTTTAAGAGCATGTTAAAGTAATTATTGAAATGAATATGATTATGTTATTTTTATGACCAACGTTGTTAATAACATGATCATGTTTTATTATTGAAATTTAAAGGTGCATTTATTTCTAATATTTTGCCCAACGGTAATATAGATTTAATTGCATAGACAATTGTATGTTTAATTTGACCAACGTTAGATTATTGCATATGATTGTTTTATTGATGTCACTTAAATTGTGATTTCAGGAGGCTTTCACTTGATGAGTTTCCTAAAAGAAGTTCCGACACTCAGAGGTGACAACCACACTGAGTGGAGGAAGAAAGTTGAACTGGCATTTATTTGTGCTGATCTTGACTGGGTTGTGGTGAAACCACATCCGGTCAGACCCACAGAGCCAGTAAGAGAGGCCACTGATGATGATGCTGCATGGGCTAAAAAGAAGGGCGACTATGCTCCTTTGGACCTCATAGATAACCAAAAGTGGGTCAATGCAAACAAAAAGTGCATGGCTTTTATAAAGAATACAATTGAGAGCGCCATTGTGGGCTCCATTCCAGAGTGCACTTCCGCATGGGAGTTGCTTACAAAGATAAAGAGCCAGTTCACTGGCTCTTCAAAGATCTATGCCACCCAGGTGTTAGAGCAACCGGTGACAGAACGCTACACAGGTGGTAGTCGTGGAATAAGAGAGCACATCCTTAGGATGAGTAATATGGCAGCAAAGCTCAAGCCCATGGATGCGGATCTGGAGATCAAACCAACACTCCTGGTCCACCTGGTCATGGCTTCACTGCCACGGGAGTTTGCAACTTTTGTTGTAAACTATAATATGTCACCTGGAACATGGGACATTGAAAAGACAATAGCAATGTGTGTCCAAGAAGAGGACAGACTCAAAGCCGCACATGGTGGTTGAATCAACTATGTGAAGGATTGGAAGAAAAAGAACTACAATCAAAACAACAAAAGTTCTCCTTCAAAGAATGGAAAAGCCCCCCTATCAGCATCAGCATCAGCAACAGCCTTTCTCAGTGGACAAAGACACGTGTCTCCACTGCAAGCAGAAAGGGCATTACAAGAAAGACTAAGCTGCTTGGCTGAAGTCAGTCATGGCAAAAAGAGGTAACAATATAGTTTCATTTGTCAATGAATCCTTGTATACACAGTTTTCAAAATCCACTTGGTGGATTGATTCAGGAGCAATTGTTCATGTTGCAAATTCTTTACAGGGATTCCATTCGACGCGAACTACGCTAAGAAGCGAAAGACGCATTGAAGTGGCAAACGGAGTTGAAGCAGAAGTTGAAGCTGTCGGTGATATCTTCTTGGAGTTAGCTGGCGGATTCAATCTTCTACTTAGAGATGTTTTATTTGTTTCATCATGTCATAGAAACTTAATTAGTGTTTCTTGTTTGGACAAAGATAATTATGAATGTCATTTTGGACATGGCGAGTGTGCCATTTGGTATAATAATGCTTATGTGGGTGATGCTTTACTACATGATGAGCTTTATTTGTTATCACTTCGTGAAAAAGTTTATTCCGTTTGCAATGTGAAAGAAAATGTTTCCGTGTCGAATAAAGAGCAAAAGAAAAGAAAAAGAACATTCGACTCATCGAAATTATGGCACTGTCGCTTGGGCCATATTTCGAAGGGGAGAATAGAAAGATTAGTCAAAAGTGAAATTCTTCCTCCATTAGAATTTTCAGACTTAGAACAATGCATAGATTGCGTTAAAGGAAAGTACGTAAAACAAATAAAAAAAGGTGCAATCCATAGCACATGCACACTAGAAATCATCCACACTGATATTTGTGGACCATTTCCGGTGAAAAGTGTGGATGGATATGACTCGTTCATAACATTCACAGATGACGACTACTCTCGCTATGGATATATTTATCCAATGAAAGAAAGATCTGAAGCGTTGGATAAATTTAAAATATTCAAAGCTGAAGTTGAAAATCAGCATGATAAAAGAATAAAGATAGTTAGGTACGACCGTGGGGGAGAGTACTACGGTCGGCACACTCCATATGGCCAAGTCCTTGGACCTTTTGCAAAGTTCTTGCAGGAGACTGGCATAGTTGCCCAGTATTCAATGCCGGGTGAACCTCAGCAAAATGGAGTAGCTGAAAGACGCAACCGTACACTTACGGATATGGTGCGCAGCATGATGAGTTATTCCAACTTGCCATTGGGATTATGGATGGAGGGGCTTAAAACCGCCATTCACATTCTCAATAGAGTACCAAGCAAGTCGGTGCCCAAAACACCGTACGAGCTATGGACAGGAAGGGTGCCATCCCTACAACACTTCAGGGTGTGGGGGTGCCCTGCTGAGGCCAAAATGTTTAATCCAAACATTGGAAAGTTAGATCCCAAAACAGTGAGTTGCCACTTCATTGGCTATCCAGACAGATCAAAGGGTTTTCGTTTCTACTGCCCAGACAGATATATAAAGTTTGTAGAAACGAGACATGCAGTCTTCTTAGAGGATGAAATGATGAGGGGGAGCTTGGTAGCTCGGAAAATTGATCTTGAGGAGAAGAGGGTGCATGCACCTAATTCGATGATTCAGGAGCCATTTTTCTCACTACCAGTTGCAACTCCACCCATGACAACTATGGGGGCAGACCCGGAACCTGTCCGCCGGGAGCCGACTGAACCCGTTGTTGAGCATGAAAGGGAGGTACAGCAGCAAATTTTAGAAGAAGTGCCAGAAGTTGAGGCACAGAATGTGCCAGAAACTGAGGCCCTTAGAAGGTCTACAAGACCAAGAAAGTCAGCTATTTCTACTGACTTTAAAGTTTATAACACAGAAATGTTTCATATGGAAAAAGATCCCACCTCATATGAAGAAGCCATGAGAAGCCCTCATTCATCGATGTGGATGAAGGCAATGGAGGATGAGATGAAATCAATGAGTTCCAAAGATGTTTGGGACTTAGAGGAAATTCCTAAAGGAGCCAAATCAGTAGGCTGCAAATGGGTCTACAAAATTAAGTATGACTCTAAAGGGAATATAGAAAAATATAAAGCACGACTCGTGGCAAAAGGATTTACACAAAGAGAAGGAATAGATTACAAAGAGACATTTTCTCCGGTCTCATGTAAGGATTCCTTCAGAATCATAATAGCATTAGTTGCTCATTTTGATGTAGAGTTACATCAAATGGATGTAAAGACGACATTTCTAAACGGAGATTTAAAAGAAAATGTCTACATGAAACAGCTCAAGGGTTTTATCATGGAAGGCAAGGAAAATATGGGATGCCGCCTAAAGAAATCCATTTATGGATTAAAGCAAGCCTCTAGGCAGTGGTATTTAAAGTTTAATCAAACGATTAAAAGTTTTGGATTTAAAGAAAATATTGAGGTAAAAATGGGAAATATATTTTTCCTAATCTTGTATGTGGATGACATTCTGCTTGCTAGCAGTGATGTTAGTCTACTACAAGAAACAAATAAGTTCTTATCCTCGAATTTTGACATAGCAGATCTTGGTGAAGCATCATATGTTTTGGGCATAGAAATTCACCGAGATAGAAAAAATGGAGTCTTAGGACTATCGCAGAAAGCATATTTGGAGAAGGTTCTTAAAAAGTATAATATGCATGCGAGTAAAGCCACACCTGCTCCTATAGTTAAGGGCGATAATTTTGGGAAATTTCAATGTCCCAAGAATCAGTATGAGATCGATCAAATAAAAGGAGTACCATATGCTTCGGCAGTTGGCAGCTTACAGTATGCACAAGTGTGCACTCGCCCTGACTTAGCCTTTATCACCGGGGTACTCGGTAGATATCAAGAGAATCCAGGCATAGAGCACTGGAAGATGGTAAAGAAAGCATTGCATTATGCGCAAGGCACGAAGGACTACATGCTAACATACAGGAGATCTGATTCCCTACAGATAAAAGGGTATTCAGACGCAGATTTTGCGGGGGACAAAGATGATAGAAAATCCACGTCAGGATACGTATTCACCCTCGCTGGGGGAGCTATTTCGTGGAGAAGCTCCAAACAGTCGACAGTTGCATCATCCACGATGTATGCAGAATTCATAGCATGCTTCGAAGCCACGGGGCAGGCGATATGGCTAAAGAAATTTGTACCCGACTTGAAAGTGGTAGATTGTATTCACAAACCACTAAAGATGTACTGCGACAATCAGCCCGCGGTATTTTACGCTCACAACAACAAGTCGAGTAATGCTGCCAAAACAATAAAGATAAAGTACTATGTTGTGAAAGATAAAATTCAGGATCAAACTATAAGTCTCGAGCATATAAAGACAAAAGATATGCTTGCGGATCCGCTAACGAAAGGCTTACCACCCAATGTGTTCAAGGAACACTTAGCCGGCATGGGTTTAAGCGAAAGCCTTATGATTCCTGGATAGGCCCAAAAGGAACAGAATTTGTTTCTGAACAAAACGTATGTTGTAGCTGTATGATTCTACCGGCATTTAAGCTGTGACGATGAAACATGCTCTATGTACCAATATGTGATGAAACAAATAAACTAGAAAGTATAAGGTTAAAAGTAAAGTTGAGATCAAGGGCGAGAATGTTAGGTTGATCTCTCCCGTGTGGGCCCAACGGCCCAACGGACCCCTGATCCACGCCCTGATCGGGGGCGCCCAACCACAATATGGTTGACGGGCCCCTGTCACGCAGCGCTACATAAAGAGGTGGGGGCCGGCGGCACGCAGTACGAGGTTCACCGTGTTGCCAGGCTCCCCACCGAAAATCCTGACTCGATCTAGGTCTAGCGCTGACAGTGACGGGAAGCTCCGCCGCCGCCACTGCCCACACACCGCCACCATCCACTCCCTGCCATCACCCGCCACCATCACCATGGCCGGCACCGGGAGTTCCTCATCTGCACCTGGACAAGGTAGGTTCACCGGATCTCCTAGCCCACTCCGATCTAAGGTTCTATCAAGCTGAGCTTGTTCTGGCTCTTCATCTTCTTGTTTCGCCTACTGTCGAGAAATAATGAGTCCAAGATGAAGGCACTGATGAAAAATTGATATGAGCACAACTTGAAGCCTGCACATTAACTTATCGTCCAATCTATGCTGTCGAAGCAATGAGGGGATAAGGCAGCCCCGGATGCCTGATTTTTCGGTTTCGGCCTCTTCAGATGCGTCAAACAGTTGTAACGCCGAGGGAGATGAGACGATTCTTGTGAAGTTTCAGTTTTTAAGCAGGCTCTCGGTTGTCTCTGAGACTTATCCAAGAACTCTGTTCGCTCGGTCTTGTATATATCGGCAACTAAATGGTAACCTCATCCTCACATTTGTGCAGTTTGGTTCTCTACATCTGCCTACATATTTTGTTTTAGATTTTTAACACTCTTCTATACACAAACTTTATCTGTTATTTGTGATCTATTGTACTATAAAAAAAATACTATGACAAATAAACCTTGGCGAATAAGGGGCTGTTCGGCATCGCTCCGCTCCATAGCTCCCTGACCGGAGTTGGCGGAGCTGTAGGTCAAAATGGTGGAGTTGCCATTTACCCGCTCCGCAGATTTCGGGAGCGGACCATTACCGAACAGGGCCTAAATGTTGTCATTTTTGCTCGGCATGTTGAAATTTAATCTTTTATGTGTTGGAATTGTTTTCGTGGCTACTTTTTTTTGAGGGGTAGTAGCTTTTGTGACTACTTTGTTGTCAAGCGAGTTGATGCGTTACATGGGGCATATACAGAAATAATAGTAATATGTATTTAAGCCTCTCAAGCTTGAGTTGTACTGAAAATCTGCAACCATCCATGCAAGCCTTGCTTGGCATATTTAATCTGCTGCTTCCTTCCTTCCATGGTATGTGACCACAACCACTGTGGGTGGCTTGCTGAGCTTGCTGGATGGATACGTCAGATTGTCTGGGCCAAAGATTGCAGTAAAGGCGTCATCCGTGCCGACCGATGATCCATCCCTGCTCTTTCTTCAGTCTCTTCTGCTGCTGCCTGGTGGTGGTGGTAATGGCATCGGCCTACCCCGTGGGCACGGCCTGGCCGCTCCACACTTGCCATTTCCCTCCATGCATGCATGTGGTGCCACGCCTGGCAAATGGTCAAGGAGTTCAGTGATGCCGGCCCTTGTCTTCTCACTGAAAATTCATGCCGTCTCTACTCTACTCTCTGGTGAGTGGAGATCAGTACTGTTCCTACCACTACTAGCTATAGACTAGGCCTGCCTTGGCTGCCTAGCCATGTAGTGGTATTGGCTGATGACACTGGTGATGGAGTGGTGGGTGTAGAATCTGACGACGTGTAACCATGCCGTTTATTGTGTGGCTGTGGTACGTGGTGCTCCTACTTGATTGTTGCTAAGGCCTGGCGGTGAAGCGGTCGTTGGGCAACGGCCGGCCGGCCGGGCGTGACCACCGGACCACCGTCCGTACGTACGTGGCCCCGGCCTGAATCATGAACCGGCCGGCAGGCGGGCAGGCCGCCGGCGAGGCGAGCGGGGAGAGGGAGCACCGCACGTGGCGACGCGCGCCCCACGCGCGGCCGGTGGCCGGCCAGCGCGCGGCTCATGTGCGCCCTCCGCCGCGCCCACCTGCGCCGTACGTACGGCCGCCGGAGCCGGACCACGTACGTACGTACGATCCGGCCGTCCACGACTGCCGTCTGCGGCGGCCTGCGACACCGCGCCGGCCGCGGCGCTGCGGTTGAATACATGGACGGTTTTTGGTTGCTTGCCGTTGAGGGTGGCCGGGATGGGCGCGTCGGCTTGTCCTGCGGCCGGATTCGGTTCATAAATGGTGGATGGATGGATGGATCGACCAGCCAGCCAGCCCGGCCCACACACTCATGGACCAACACGCAGGCGCTTCTTCACACACACACACACACACACACCAAAACTCTGGCTCCCGCAAATTTTTTGTCCAAGGCTTTGGTTACCATGAGTGTGTGGAGGTCGCAACTTCAAATGATCTTGATTTTTTGAAAATGGAGGTATACCTCCGGCCTCTGCATCATGACGATGAATTCGGCCCTTTTATTAAATATTCAGAAAGTATCAACACAAAGGTCTTACAGCTCGCAAACGGAGCAAAAACAAAGCACATAGAACTGAAAAATAGAAGCGGACAAAGACAACCGGTATGTTGATAATAAGGATAAGCTCTCTAGACTCCTATCCTGTTATGCGAACGCCATCCGAACCGGTTGAATATAACCCGAGCCACCATCTCCCATTGGTTGCACCCAGTAACCAAAGGCTCCTTGGAGTCCGTAGGAGTGAGTAAGGACCACGTACGGATCCAAGCTGTAGCTCTGAAGATAACCTGCAAAAAATTTAAGTTGTGTAGTCTGTTAAAAATCATATAATTTCTGCAGTTCCATATAGCCCATAATAGCGCACATATTCCAATCCGAATACGAGCTGCCGTGATCTGTTCAACCCCAGCTAACCACGTCCCAAACAAAGACGCAATATCTACTGGAGGATTGATATTAAAAGCTATATGAATCATTCTCCAAAGTAACTTGGCAAGTGGGCATTCGATAAATAAATGTTGTATTGTCTCATCCTTAGTACAAAAACAACACCGCGAGTTACCTACCCATCGCCTCTTAAGTAAGTTGTCCTCTCACTACTAGGAAAATGCCTACTAATGGCGCACCTAATTTGGCCATTAATGGCGCATTAGCGGTGCGCCATTAGTACCACGCCATTAGTATATTTTACTAATGGCGCACCCCCTGGTGCGCCATTAGTATCTGATATACTAATGGCGCACCACTGATGCGCCATTAGTGTATACAGAAGTGCGCCATTAGTATGCCTCCCAGGGGCCATGTATACCCAGGTGCTCTGGCATACTAATGGCGCACGGCAGCAAGATGCGCCATTAGTAACCTCGGCATACTAATGGCGCACTCTTCAGTGATGCGCCATTAGTATGCTTTGTCATACTAATGGCGCACTGTCATGTGATGCACCATTAGTATGAATATTAGGTTTTTTTTATTTTTTATTTTCTGTTTTTTGCACAGGTTACAAAATGTATAATTTGACAAAATATAGACAGCACACATCAACAACAGATTCATCAAATACAATAGAAGATTAGTCTTTGAATACAATTCATCATATTAGTCTCCGAATACAATTCATCATATTAGTCTCCGAATTGAAAAGATCGAACAAAGATAGAACATTATATTACAAGTCTCGAGACCGCGAGTAGCGAGTTTGTCTTCACATTACAAGTCGATATCGATCATCTAAACTACCATCACATAAAAGAGAGTTGCGGTCATCACGATGAAACTCGTCTTCATCCGGTTCCTCCAACGCTCCCTCCCCTCTCCCGCTAGATAGCGGGCGTATCTAGATTCGGCCTCGGCCCTAGTGGTGTACCCTTTGTAACTGTTACCGCTGAATCGGTGAACCTGTCTCCGACACTCCTCCCAGTCGTCGTAGACTCCGGGAACCTTACCCTTGTACACGACATACGTCGGCATCGCTATGCACTAGCCAAACGAAACGTTAGTACCAATTCACAGACAATACATAAGCAATATATAAGTATGCAACAGAACGATCGGAAGAGAAAAGCAAGACATTAATAGCATCGATTACATCTAAGTTGAACGACTCTCGAAACCAAAGAGACATACTACAAGTTCATTAAAGTTCAATTACAACATGAGCCAATCGATGTTTCAGAACTAGACACAGCATCACTGCTTTCGACTCGACTCAAGGGACCGAAGCGTGGATGAAGCCGTCGTCTATCGTGGGAGTCATGAAAGAACGGGCGTTGTCAGCCTGCATTTGTAGCATTGTGTCGATGTCACTGTTGGACGGTTGATTTCTGAGGTAGAACTGCCCCGAGGTACGAAGGACATCTTGATGGATGATTTCCGCAAACTCCGACTGGATGCGAAAGAATTCTTGTTTGATGTCCACGTCCTGGATTGCCGACACGCTCGCGGCCCAATCTTTGAGTCTACTCGGTAGCAGAAGTTGATGATGGTCCCGTACGATCGCCCGCATGTGATGGATGGCGTAGTAGGCACCCTTCTGACCGCCAGGCGGCTGCTTGACGCAGCAGAACATCGTATTGTGGGAGAACACGTGCTTGCCGTACTTACGAATAGGCCTGGTGAAGGTGCCTCCAGATTTGACGTAGCCGGGGAGAACATCATCAAGAACCTTCTTGACATTTGTGTAGTCTACGTTCGACTGACGGTCCGGGTCGAAATACGTGGCCATGGAATATTTGGGGCTTAGGAGGATGAGCGTGCAATGTGTGTCACTGCAGAAAACACGGAATGTTAAAAGAAAAACGATCGAAATCTAAGAATTCATATGTTACGGGGCGGTTGAGGGGAGGACTTACTCGGGAAAGT